TCATCTGCCGTAGCGAATGATGTTGATGTCACTACTGCCACTGGGGTCATTCCTGAAGCACTGGGGCTCTGCTTTCTCACCTGGTGTCACAGCCCAGCCCCTCAGGAGACTTTGCAGACACCCATGGGGAGCAAGACGAGAATGCCCTTCCACGGTGACTTCAAGTGCACAACAATTCTAGTGCAGAGACAAGAGCCTCTTTCAGCCCAGCAGCTGCTTCTCAGCATGAATACACAACTAAAACGGAGCCATCGAAGTACATTTAGGCTAATTAGGGAATTAGCTAATGCATGCAAATGTCTGCAGGGAAAAGACTCCAGGGAAGTCAGTGTGGACTGCAGATAGAGCTTACAGGTGAGGAGTCAGTGGACTTAAACCCATCAGAAGTTATCTGTGCTCTGGCAATTATGAGACAACTTTATGCTTTCCTAAATTTTTTTTTTCTGTATTCTTCTGGGGAAACAAATCCTGAAAACAAACATAATCCAAATGCCAAGAATGGAAAAAAAGAAACAAAGCCTTTCTTAATTTTGATAATGACATCATATGATCAGAACCACACAGTGAAAAGAAGAGATATATTGGTTAAGAGTGTGAAGACGACAGAGTGATTTGTTTAGCACTAGAGCTCAAAGTGACAGTCTGGCTGAGAAGTCCAGCTGTTTCTAGAAGAGAAATTCATTCTTTGCACACTGCTGCAATAAATATTTAGTCCCATGAATAATCAGTGATGGCTTTGTCAGTGAGTTCACTGGGGCCAAGATTTTCTTTGGCCAGGCCAGAGGCAGCAGCCATCCACTCACCCCTGTGAACGACGTGTCCTGAGTTTGCCCATAGATGCTCTGCAGAAAGAGAACTGGGCAGCAAAGATGACAGCATGAGCTGTATTTGTATTTAGACAGCCACTAGTGAAACTACACCATAATGTACTTAGGAAAGGATTTTCTACCGAGAAACAAATGTTAAAGTGTGAGAGCGTTTGTCAATATTTTCCGTTAATTGACTAAGAGTTGGAAGTGTTTATCTCCACCCCGGGCAGCAGTGTCAAGTAGAGATAGTCAACTGCTTTAAACTGGCTTGGATGCCAGAAGAAACATAGCAGTGATATTTCAAACTACCACTCAGTTAAAACTAGCTCAGGCATCTCCCTCAGTTACTCTGTAACATGCAGTATATTCTGATGGTATGATCTGAAGAGAAATTGCAGAGAGGCAACAGCTGGGAGAACATAAAATAAATTTAAAATAACTTATCAGAAAAATATATCAGGACTTGCTAGAAAAATTATTTCTTAGGCACATCTCAACTAAACTCCTTAGCACAAGAAATATATTAAAAGAAAAAAAGAAAAAAAAATCATCTGATTAGCATCATGAAATCCAAGCAGCCGTTATTAAGCATTGTTACTGTCAAATGACTTCAGGAGACCATAAAACCAAATACAAAGATCCTCCAAATTCAATTTGCTACCAGTAACCACCTTTGAAAGTCAAAACAAGCCAACATCTGAAAACTGTGAGTCAAATCCTCTGCTGCTACAAATCACTATGATTTCCTCCTCTCTAGTGGAGCAACGCTCATTTACATCAGCTCAGAAAAAGCTGCAGTGATTTGCACCAGTAATCATATCCACTGGAGCAAAGGAAGCTCCTCAGCCCAGACCACAAACTTTCCTGAAAGTGGTGATTATCAGGCAAGCCAGATACCTTACCCAAATTTATGGTCTGCATCTTGCAAATACAGCCATTCCCCTGGAGGCTGTACTTAGTGTAGCCACAGCCAACCCTGTCTGTGAAACTCCATTTTATGATCCTCAGCAACAGAATCCACCATTATGCCATTCATCTTTCATTGCTTGGCGTTTGCTGATGATTAGTGCAGAGTCAAAATGACTTTTTTTTTTCCATATCAGCATATAATAGTGAGGTGCGTTTATGTCTCTGTTCATTGCAATTAATTTTTTATCTCATCTTGAAACTTCAGGCTTTGATCACTGTCAGAGACTGATTAATGAGCAAGATGGACTTTTCATGTCCTCCAGGAAGGTAGTTCTTATGACTCTTTTCCACTGGTGACATCTGTTTGTATCCCACTCTAAGGGCCTATTTCAGTAATGGCCAAGAGATATGATTCTGGAAATCTTAATTTGTCATATGAGAAGGAAGGCAAATACTTTCATGGCCGTGTATAGCTAATCTGTCCTCTTGATCCGAACCTACTATGGCAAGCAGCGCTAGAAAAAGGCTCATAATGAAGGGCATCTGCATGTGCAGGAAGCCTCTAAAATCATGGGAATGGTTAATCTAGTAATGGTTTCTTCCTTTGTTTTATATTGCTCCTGATGTTTAGAGAAGGTTTTAGCAACAAAAAGTAAGTTGTGTTGGAGCATCAGTAACTTCATGATTGAAGTGACTGGAGTTACTTTAAATAAAGAACATGAAGGAGGCATGGGGTCATCTGCCTTTATGAATCAAGATCACCCCGACCCTTCCTCCCCAATGGGATGGGAGGTAATAAAAGAGACAAAGGCTTACGTGGCATACAGTGCTAAAGTTTCCTGTAGAGTCACATGAAAGAAGAGACTCACATTGTTAGGTTGCAGCTGAGAATAAGGTCTTCTTTGATCACAAAGCTGGGTGGGAGAAATATATCTAACCAGTTTCACAACAGCAGAGTCTCTCTTCTCTGCTTTGACCCTCAGGATGAGTTCAGCTGTATCTAGCACTTGGAGTTGAGGCATGGGAAAGGGACCAAGGTGCAGTGCTGTGCAAATGTCTGAGGTAAAGATTGGGCCACAGCTGATCAAGAGGAAAGGTTCTGCAAAACCCTCTGTTCCAATACTGCATACTTTTTTTTTTTTTCTTTTTTTTCTGACAGGCAGTAAAAAGCATTTAAAAACAGAAGAAAAAAAAAATGCGGATAAAAACTTTAATTGCAGTTAATGGCATAAAACTTGGGGCACGCAGTCAGCCTTTTTCTACCAGGTAGTAACTTAACCGGCTGTTTTTAAAACCTGCTGCCTTGCCCTGTTACACTCAATATCTGTCACATGATTAATGTGTTCGTGTCCTATTAACTGCTGTGTTATAGGAGTTGCTGCATTCACCACCCGCCCTTCCCCAGCCTTTTTTGTGGAAACCCAGCTGAAATCATGCTGCTCTGACTGGAGGGTATCACACCTTCCGAGAAAACATCATAAGGAGCAAAGAACTACTGTTTCTCAGTGATCCAGCCCATAAATCAATCCTCACATTTCTTTGCAAGGATGGTATGAGATTCCACGAGTGTTCTCTACTTTGGTATTCAAAAGACAGGCTGTGTCCTCAGAAAAAAAAAAGAAAAAAAAAGAAAAAAGGAGAAAAAAAAAGAAGAACCAGGGCTAGCTAAATCATTTCAGAGCCTGACTGATCTTATCAGGACCTCCCTTGCTGCAACAATAATTTGAGACTGTCAAAAATTGCCACGTTTATCTGATGGGTGGTCCCACCAACTGCTCTGTTATCAGAGCCCAATTGCACAAGGAAATCAGGATGTGGCATGACCTTGGTATACCAGCACCTGACCTCAGTATCTAATCCATTAGATGTCTCACTGAAGCTGTCTTGGGATGTTGTACGTGCCCCCTCTGGCATCAAGTCATTCAAAAGATATTTGCTTCACACTTGTGTTAATCCACCAGCACACACAGAGTACATCTTGATGCATCACCGCCTTGCCTGCTAGTGCAGCGTTAAAACTTCAGTTTTAAAGTGTTTTTTTTTGCAAAACTTTGTCAGCCCTTCTCCTGGAAAGCTTGTTCTGCAGGACTGTAACCCAGCCAGCAATGATTCAGCATCCAAATTTGGCCTCCAAATTCATTCAAAAACATTGGTTTTCCATGTTTTAAGCAAGCTATACAGTACATGCCTGTTAGTGTAATAAATACTACATAAGAACGCCACACCATAGGCACTGCCTCATAGCCAGTACAAGGAACAACATGAGTGCTGCTGTTACAAATAATTATCCCCATCTCTCTTGCCTGTTTGATCCTTTGCAGAGGTTGAGGCCACCCAAAAAAGCTCTTCTTGAAAGAGAACAGTCATTACCATCACTCTGTGCTGCCTGGTTCTACAGGTGTGGTACAAATAGCGTGCTGAAAGAGGAGCTTGCTCCCAAAGCACCTGAGATCATCAGGTAAGCAAGAGAAAAGGCTGCAAAATGTGAAACCAAAAGCATGGAGAAATTAACCATCCAGGGAAGATCAGAGTGCTATGACATGTCATTTCTGAAAAAGAAGATGAAGAATTTCTGTTTCAATATTATAGCTTTTCATTCCTTTATATGGACACATTTATTAGACAGTTTTTTTAGAGGGATGAATTTAGAATTAGAATCAAATGTTTTGATTCTGTTAAGCAAAAACCTTTGATATGACTCCAATTTTCCTTTTTTTTTTTTCCTTGGAAATCACCAGCTTTTAATTTTTTATTTATTTATTTATTTTTTACCAGAAGATACTCTGAAACTTCCAATTCTTTCACAAACAGCAACTGATTTGTCTATCACCTGTGCTACATGCAGTGACTGCCAATGGAGGACTTAGACATGCTCTTCCCACACATTAACCAGGCACAAATTCTAGCATTTCTATCCACAGAAAGTATCCACAGAAAAGGATGGAAGTTCATTGCAGGAAATGTCTCTCACAAGCTCTGCAAGTGGGGGTTTACCTGTGCAGTGAATAGGGGTTGGCAATTATCAAGCAAACTGACAAACCAGTGCCAAGTCTTGGTTTGTTGTTGCTGTTCAAAAATGCCAAGACAGTGAATTCCCCAATGTCTGTGACAATTCTTTGGCATGTAAGTCTTGAATCTCAGTTTTTGCAGAACTGCAGATTTTATTTTCAATGCCAGTATTCCCCACTCCCCTTTAAATAACAGTAATAATAAAGATAGGAGGAAGATGTACAAGAATTTCCCATATATTTTTATTCTTTTTCTGTTAACAAAGGCCTTTGCTTCCTCTTATGAAACCGATCAGAGTGATAGAACTTGCTCTCTCCTAAAGCCAGTTCTAAACACTGTTAAAGGAGGGCAGAGCACAGGAATCATTACTGTATTTATTTATTTTTCCCAAATAAAATATTTAATATGTTTGGGTTCTGGCTGTCTACAAAAAGGACACACTGGATATGACACCACTTGTGGCTTGGAATAGCAAAGCTGTCAAGGAGGATTGCCTGCTGCCCACCACTCACATGCAGAACCCACCCCCTGGACAGCATTCGTGTTCTTGTGAGGACATTGCAGCAAATTCCAGTCCAAATAAAGCTGTGGAAGAGCAGATAAACAATTATACCTCAATGCACACAGATGCATACACACAAAAATATCCCCTTATCAAGGCCAAGATAATAAACATGAGAATGCAGCCAAGTGCATCTTAGTCAATTGACAATACATAACAGATTGCCTAGTATATTCTTTGGGAGAAGAAGAACATACAATTAAATAAAACTTGTTATTAAAAGCACACTCCTCCCTGAAAATAGATGTCAAACCTTGACTAGACAAATGTGGTATTTCAGGTGGAAAATTGAATGGACTTAATAGGAGTAATATGAACAGTTGGTCCTGGAAGAGCTTATAAACTGTAAATATTACTCACTGCAGATGCTAACACAATGATGAATATATCAAAATATTAGTATCAAAAGACTGCTGGAATATATTTGCAACATTGTGTAAAGCGTGAAAGGAGGTATCTGTCCTTCCCATAGCTTTACATTAATCTCTGGGTGCTGGCTGATAGCAGGGGCCACAAGCACTATAATTAGATTTAGAAAATGTATATTGGGAGGAGGAAATGGAATAATTAAGGTAAGCTATCAGATGCCTGTCCTTATCCTTTTTAAACAAGCCAGAAATATACCCTGCTCTCGTTCAGCATGCAACCTTCAAGGGGAAAGGTGTCAGACACTGTAATTGGTAGAACTTGAATGCTGCTATACTGGTGTCCCTTTTTTAAGGAAACCTATTTTCCACACCAAAATTGATCCGGCAAGGTTGTTATCTCATAATGCACACCTAGAGAGGCACTGTGAGGCCTGAGGGTAGAGAATAGCAAAGCACTTAACAGCTTTGGCTGTGCAGCCTGCAATGCTGCACCTTGTCTTGGGGAACTTAGCTGCCGAGGCACACGATATATGGTAAAATACATGTATATCTATGTAGAGAGTCTGGCTTTTGCTTTAAAACACAAGGGTGAGGCAGTGAAAATGTGCTAATGATATGGCATCCAGAGGGTCTGACAGCTCAGTGGGATGAGCTTGTGCTGCTCCTTCTCCGGGTGTTCACAGTCAGGAGAACCCCTCCCCTGGCACCTCTGAAGGGTGCATTGGCTTCTACTTAATTGGCCTTCTCTCATTAAGCAACGGAGAAGAGTTAGGGAACTTAAGCAAATACACATGCAAAAAAAAGAATATTTTTGGTGTAGAAAATCATTTGACATTATTCTTAAATATTTAAAGGACACTGTCTGCTGGTTTGGAAATCCAGTGAATAATTTAATAGTGTTTGACAGAATCTCTTTGGGTCAATTATTCAGTAAGTGGATTAATACATTCTGACTAAAACAAAGCACATTGGGTTTTGGCGGGCATATCTTGTTACATCACAAATTCCATGTCACATTACACTTTGGAGAATGCCAGCACAACCAAACGGTGCAACTTGACTTCAACAATGCAATCAGAATAATTTCCAAAAAAATTTTTTAAAAGTTTCCTGTTTCTGGCTATATGTCTCTATATGATCTGTATATATTTACCCATGTAAAAAGGCAAATAACACAGCCAGGGATCAGATCAACTTCTAAAAAATATCCAGATGGAAACTGCCAGCAACTCTTGACCTCATTATAACCCTAAGTATCTTATCTATACCAAACACTTTAATTTTAGAATAGCATCTTTAAAGCCCCGGGGAAGAGAGAGAGCATCTCTTGATGCTTGACAGCAATTCTCTAACACTGACGTGGTCCAAAAGAGATATTCTTATCAAATCCTTCTGAAGAAAGCAGCTATAATATAGGAGCTCAAGGGCAATGAGGATACAATACAGGTTAAAAAAAAAATAAAAATAAATCCTTGGGATTTCAAGAGATACGTAGAAGCCTTCAGAGGCAGCAGCTGTCTCACACCAGAATTAGTTTTATAGATAAAACTGGAATGGAGGTTCCTGCTAATGTTTCAAATCATCAGTGGTCACACCTCCCTCTCCTGCCTTTCTCCATTCTTCCCCAACATGCTATAAGAAACAGGTGGGACTTCCTTCTGAAGTCCTGGATTGCAAATGACTGGGATTGAGAGTGGGGAGTTTGGGGGTGGAAAGTTTATAAATTTAGCAAAACTAATTAAAATTTGGAATTTCTATTTAGTGCAATTCTCAGATTCTTTAATTTTACTTCCACTGGAATGAGATAAAAAGTCAATAATCTCATAACTTTACTGTGAAAGAAAATACTCCGAAAGCAATTCTATGTTTATGCATTTTTTATAATTACAGTATGAATATTGCAAGACAGTGTAAAACTGAAAATCGTGCTGTGGAGGACAAATACTCAATTTTATGGGAGTGATCCGAGCATAATATGATATTTACATCATTAAAGTGAGATATTTCAGCAAAAAGTTTCCTTTTCCCGCAGTCAGCATTTTCTGATCAAAATGTTTTACCAGCTCAAAATTATAAAGACAGATGTGCAAATTGTTTCTGAAGGCCTCAGCAAAATTGGAATAAAAAGCACTAGGAAAAATGAAAGGTGCCTCTTCCTCTACTCTTGCAGCAGAGATGCCAAGGCCTTTCTTATATGGTGTGAAAGTGCAGGACCTCTGAAATGAAGAGAGTTGCACCCTTGTATGCTCACTGCAAGCCAGAAGAGAATGTCATTCTCTAGCTGGGTTAAACAAAATTCTCCATGCAGCTCTGCTAGGATGCCACCCGGCTTTGTCCTGTGGCCACTTCAACACAGCAAAAAGCATGTCTGGGAAGAAAAGGTGAGTTTTCTTTTGAACATTTCTTAAAGATGACTCAAAAGGCATTTTTCTTAATTGATGTGTGAGTGGGATCAGAGATGATGTCAGGATAAAGCTCCAGATAAGCTTGCAAAGATGAACTGTGAGTCCCAGGAGGTTTTGTTCAGACCAGGATGGAAAAGTTCCCATGCTAATGAGCATCTCCTTTGGGCTACCTGAACAACTCCCATCCCTGCAAAGTTATGGAACAGCCAGCCTGTTCCAGGTCCCAGCATGAGGCCTGTGCTCCTGCCTGCAGTCCTGCCACCCAGAACCAGAAGGCTTCACGGAGGCTCTTTCCGTGGTCAAATTTTCTTACCCTTTTTATTGTGCTTTATGGTAGTGATCACAGTACAGGCCATGGTGATGCTTTGTACATGTCATAACAGACACTCAGAGCAGTGTTTCCCCATCCTGTTGACTGGAAAATGGAGGCAAAAGAAAAGTGAGTGAGATAAGAGCTTAGTGGTTTCAGCACCAGCCTGTGCAGAGCTGGCAGCATGCAGACTCAGACCTGCCCTGGCAGGCTGCAGGGCCTCACCAAGCCAACCCCAGAGCCCCACAGAGTGCTCCTGTGAGAGAACTGACGAGAAGATACAGCCCAAGTTCTTCTCCTTTAAAACATTCAGTAATGAGCATTAATATTAAAAACCCTGTAACCACCTAAAAACGCACCACATCGGTCTCCTATCCTTGACTTTTATGCATATAACTTTATTCTGAGTCAGCCTCATTAAGCCTAGCTGAATAATTCTAATTCTCAAGTGTTTGGAAGGTTGAGGAATGAATAAACATAGCAGAAAGCTTACAGATCCCCTTCACATATCTAAAACGTGTACTTTCAAAGTGATTTTAGCAAAGAAAAAATATTTAAAGACAATAGTTCAGCAGACTGAGATGAGAAAATGTACACTGCCAAAAACCTCTGCTTTCATGGCCCAGCCACCTCACTTGGAAGGGGCTGTTAAAGTATGAGGAAATGCAGCTGAACAAATCAGTTTGAAATTTCCTAAATTCCATCACATCACGCTGAAAGGGAGATAGAAATTCATTTCACAGAGGGTTAAATATATATACATACCTAAATGCCTATTTGTTTCTATATATATTTGAAACATTCTGTAGGCATCACAAAGACACAGCTGAGCACCAGAGGAGCTGCGCTGCTCCCAGGGCGGTGCCACCAGCAGGTGTCATTGTGAGGTAGCACTGAGGACACAGGGTGCGTTGTTCCCCTTAGCCCCGATGGAAGGGAACAGGCTGGGGGCTGGGGGTGATGGGAAGGAGAGGGCACAGAGCCCAGAGGACTTGTGCGGGGTCTGCAGGATTGTCCAGCGGAGTAAACCTTGTCACTATCTACATTAAAAGAAAGCCTAATGAATTTCTCTGGACTCTGCCCCAAAGTGAATGTTTTGCCATGAAAAAAGAAAGAAAGAAAAATAATAATAATAATAAAAAAAAGAACAAAAAACAAATGGAAAACATTACCAAGAAAAACAAAATTGTGTATATAAAAATGTTCCCACGGTTTTTGAAAACCTCACAGGTAATGATTTATCTGCCTGAAATGCAGACAGTTTCCTGTCATTTTATTAACACAGCAGCATCCTTTTGCAAGGATGGAAGAACCACAGGGAGAAAGATCAGAATCAAAAATGAAAGTGGTCACTTGGACGATCCATGCCAACTATGCAAAATGCCTACACTGGCTAATAGCATTAATATTAAACTGTGCTTTTTAGATTTTACTACTTTAAAAATGTCTGATTATCTTGGCTGGAAGGCACAGAGACGAGTCAAACAGTTTGCATTTCAGTGAGGCAAGGAGAACTAGCAGAGACTATGTCCAGCCTCTGGAACAGCAATAGGAAATGGCTTCCCAATACTGTGTGCTTCATGCCTTTATCTTCTGTTTCAGCTACAGGACATTAGATGGAAAGATATCCAGTCCTGACAAAAGGTATCTCACTTCTACAGAAAAAAACATGGGATCTTTTTTCATTCAATATATCTGATTTTTTATAATGACATTGTTTTGCTGGTAAGTGAATGTTTTCTGCCTTCCTGATTCAGGAAGGTACTTCCATGTGCTCAACTAAATAGTGAATATGAATCACACATTATAGGGTGGTTTTTTTTTTGTTTTTTTTTGGTGGGTTTTTTGTGGTTTTGTTGTTGTTTTTAAATAGAGAGATCCCATTTCTGAACAAGATGACAGAGAGCCCAATGTCCTTTGTGTACGTGAGGTTTAGCCTTTCGTGATCTGCTGAGATCAGGGGAATCACTTCCATTTTTTCAGTGATGCACAAGCAGAACTGAGGCTCCTCATTTACTGAAAGCAAAACAAATGCTGGTATATTTGGAATCAAAGTTACACAGGAAAAACACTTAGGAGGAAACGTTCCAGTAAAAAAATAATAACTGGAAAAGATCAAAGAAGCAGCAATGGCTTAACTGACACCTGCAACTTTACCTCTTTCTCTATTTACAGAGGAAGGAGAATTACATGAATGGGGGCATACTCCCAGGGGGAGAAAATGTGGCATTTGACAGGTGCAAGAAGCCAGTGAGTTATGGGATATGTAGAAAAGAAGAATCATCTATTTTCTTACAAACTATTCAAGGCTCAGCCTGTGAAAGATCAGAAAGAGATTATTAAGATTGAAGTGAAAGACGCAGATGTTTGGTTGATGGTGTTTTTTTTTTTTTTTTTTTTCCAGGAGGGTGAAGGGCAGGGGAATATCAGTAAACGAAGGAGCAGAGCTGGAACTGTAAATCCAAATTTGCATTCCAGTGCTATAAAAACATGGTGGGACATTCTTTGTAATCATGTAAATGAGTTTAAGGTTGAATTCTGCTCTTACAAACAGAAATGCCTGTAACATAGCATCACACATGTTTGGAACACTGTGAGCTGTATAGTTGACGGGAATCTGGCTAAAAAGATCAGCATAAATTTTATCATCTCTTCCATGGAGGAAGAAGGAATAGGCTCTAACAAGGTGCATAAATGTTCAGCAACTCCCTGTATGTCTCCAAGAGCTGTGCTGAAGGGCCTTGGCCAGGCTGGAGACTGCACTCAGTTTGCCCTTGCTGTTGGATTGAATTTGGTCTGAACTCATGCTTCTGTTGTACAAGTAAGGGCTTGCGATGGTATAAGCAGAAATACTTCATTATCTCTTCTGCCGTAGGCAAGTGCAGCTGAGTGCAAATGCATTCCCATTAAGTCATGTGTATTAACTGTTTGCTACTAGTAAGCGAAGCAGGAAAATACTGTACAATCTCCAAATCATTTTCTTTCTTTTCTCCCGTCCTCACCTTGCTAGGAGTGGATTAAAAGCACAGCTTTTTTGCTTTTTTTTCTGTTTGTTTGTTTGTTTGTTTTCTGTTTTGAAAGGGGAAGGAAATGGCAGCTTGAAGCTGAGAGCAAAATTTCCCCGTAATATAAAACCCTACACATACTGATGTGAAAGGAACTACAACAATATATATCCAAAAGCACTGTTGCTCTTGAACATACTACATGTCCTGTGGTAGTGCTACACCAGGTACTCAACTGAGGTATAAAGAGCCCCATTTTCCTGTGCTCATAATAATGTGAGGAAATGTTTCCTTAAAAAATAATAAAAGCAGACATTATAATTCCATTGTCTTTCATTACATGAAATGTTAACAATGTAAACAAAAAATCTCATCGCTGTCAAGAAGATCAGAATATGGCCCTCAGAGAATGTTTTGTATTGTTACCTCCTTTCATGATTCGTACAAAATTTTATTCCTGGATAACAGTTCCTGGCTTATGATAGGAAATAAATACTCTGTCGGACCCCAATAATTAGTACATCACAGGCAGGATGTAAAACCAGTCAGTAAAATGACACTACATTTCTGGCAGAAATTGAAGCCACGTATCAACCGTAAACAAGATGATACAGAAAAGACATGGTTGTACTCCTTTCTTTCAAAGAGTTTGAAAATAGAAAGGTCAATGCCTCGGGATAAAACAAAATACTAAAGATAAACTCATGTTGAAAAGGAGTTACAATGCCTTTGCCCTGCTTCATATTCAGACAGTAAAAATTTCAGCCCAAGGAGCTCTGGCCATATGCCTCTGTTAGTATATAAGCAATTACTTAAAACACACCGGGAGCTGGACAAATCTCAGTGAGGTAACTATCACTGACTGTATGTGATAAAGAAGGAAGAATCTGCTGTGTAATGTGTTTTCTTTCTACTTTTTTTTTTTTTTTTTTTAAGAAACAGAAATGAGCTCTACAGTTTCCTGAAAACCTAAATGCAATTTCTTAAGCAGAATTCTAAGAAAGGGGAAGGAGAAAAGGGAGGAAGCATACCATGAACCATTGCAAACAGATAAAAATGCAGACCCTGGGCAGCAGTGGATACTCAGGTTTCCACTCATTGCAGCAGAAAATTTGTTTCTCACTTTGCACAGCTGTAAATCATTGCCTAGAAAGAACTTTAAAAAGTAAATTCAAAAACAATTTATAGCTAGCAGATAGCTTAAGCCAAATTGACACTCAGGTAGAGAAAAATGTGTAGGTTTTTTAAAGGATTAGAAAAATATATTTTACCATGAAATGAATTACTTGCTAATATTATGTGAAACCCATTGCAAACTGCTGATTTGAGTGCAGGTCTGAAATGGTCAGATGGCCAGGCGAAATCCAGCCCTGCATTAAGTGCACGTATGGACTCCACTCAGGTCCACATCCCAAAATCACCAGTGGGTAATCCCGGAATAAAGCCAAAGACCAAAGGGGCTCTGACTCCTCCCTACTCAGGACGCTGCTGAGACCATTCACCCGTACAGCATCTGGGGGAAGGAAGGTTTGCTTATAGGACCTAGGAGGAAGTTTACAGGGAGGACACAAAGAAGACATGGCAGACTGCTTTGGCATATACAGCTTTCAGTGCATTCCTCCTCCACGGTAGCACCAGTTCAAGAGTTATTACTAATATTAAGTTTTTAACCTAGTTTCCTAAGGAAATGAGGCATAGGCAATCATTTTGGCTGCCTGGTTTCCCTAATAATTTTAAGCCTACTAACTGATTTCAGCCAAGTGGAATAGAGAGACGAAGCTCTGAAAGACAATTATGTTTCTACAAGTTTTTTTAAAAACAGTTTTGTGTAGTGGGAAAAGAGAGAACAATGAAAAATTATTTCATGCTAAGGGAAAGGCTGCAGCATGAAACCATCATTTACGTATCAGAGAATTCACATGGAAAAAGTCTTCTATGGATGTTGTCTCCACCAGAAGTTCCACGGGAACCGACACTTTCAGAGAAATCAAAGTCAATTGGCTTGGAGATATAGCTTGCAGGAAACCTGATTTCATTAGTTTCAGAGCCTGCAGAACCACTTATGTCCCATCTAAGCACAAGCGTCATGCTGACTCATGCTGGAAATTCCCCATATGATGGTACTCCCTATGATATTTCCTATTCTCAAAAACTGAAACTTCGTGTCACAAGAAACCAAATATGAAGAATTTCCTTCAGACTACAGAGGCTGAGATCATTTTCTTACTGAAAGTTAGTTGTTAATTCTTCTGTTTCTCAGACTACCTTTGGCTGTTTCTTTTTTATGTCAGTCAATAGCTGCAACACATTCTAACACTGATACTATCAGCAACATCTTTGTAACATTCCCTTTGAATTCATTATCTACTTAGTGCAGGAGTGATAATGAACCGTATCTTCTATATCAAATGGATGCTGTGCACCTCTTGCATATGTAACCCCATTGCTATGCATCCATCAGCACATAAAACTAAAAAAAAAAAAAAAGAGTAGATCTGAAGATCTGTATCTCAGTGATGCCATAATATATCTGGCGGATTCCACTGAGCTAGCTTACATTTTTCTCTACTGAAGAGTTAAAATTCAGCACGTGAGGGCAGACTCACAATACCAGTTTAGCAGCCCCCTTTTCCAGAAAGAATAAGTCCCATTTAAAGAACAACAGCAAGAAAGAGGAGAAACAAAACCTCATCAACATCTTGACTAGCTCCTGTTGAAAAATACTTTTCTTTGAGAAATCCAGTACATTCCTCTTTGCATTAATTGCCAGCTTATTAGTGGAATGAATGTTGCCAGTCTTTTCTCAAGCTGCTTAGAGGTGAAGAGCCTCTTTCTTTCCCTTTACCAAAAACAACAAC